CTGGAATCTAACGCCACAGCTGATCTGACAGGAGATGGAGCGCAGGTGGTAATGTTCACTTGCCCAGGGGTTGAGGAATGTACCAGAGCATTCTAGCCTTCTGACCTGAGGAATACGATTTTTAAGACAACGGTGTTCCTTTAGGAATTCCAAGGGAGGATATCTGGCAAACAACCATCGAGGTCTCAGGATCTGAGTGAGAAAATGAGTAAATTCTATACTTCAGATTCTATTGAGGATTATGTTAAGGAAAATTCCATTCCAAATTTGTCTCTGAAATAGATCTTTGTGATCCAAGAGTGAAGATAAGTTATACGTATGCAGCAGATTATCATTTTGATATGTTAATCAATGTAATTTTTTCCAAGAATTGTCTGTGACCCTATGACTCTATCCTTTTTGGGCAGTAGGTGATGAAAGATCTGCTGCCTCAAGGAAGATTGACAGAGCAGAAGCAAAAACAAAAGAGTCAAGGCAGATTTGTGGCTTTTGCTGTTTTTAAAAATGATGTGGAATCACATCTGATCAAGAAGGACAATAAAGATTAGAGTAGCAACTATCACACTAGAGAATAGAAAACCAAAGCTGGTTCTTTGAAAAGATCAATGAAATTGTCAAATCTTTAGCTAGACTTACCAAGAAAAAAAAGAGAGAGGACTTAAATTATTAAAATCAGGAATAAGAGAGGAGACATCATTACTGACCTTATAGAAATAAAAAGAATTATAAGAGAATATCACAAACAATTGCGCACCAACAACTAGATAACAAATAAAAAGGACAATTCCTAAAAAGGTACAAGTCACTGAAATTGAATCAAGAGAAAAAGAAAATCTGAATATATCTGCAACAAGTGAAGACACTAGATTACTGAAAAACAAAAGAAAAGCCAATGCTGAGATGGCTTCACTGATGAATTCTGCCAGTGATTAAGCTTTAGTTGTGAAAATACTTTCCAGGACCACTTATTTATTCATTTTCTAACAAATATTTGCGAACCTACTATATGCTAGGTACTTGGACAAGACAAAGTCCCTGCTGGCCAAGGGCTTGATTTTTCATGAGAATATTTGTAATCAAGGCACAAGTTTGTGAGCTGCTGACAAGGGAAACTATTGTGAACTCACGGAGTCTGCACAGGACTTTACGGAGCACTGGGGTTGTGTGCCAAACTGTTTATCTGACTGCAGTCACCTCCATCCATGCTTCCATCTCTTCTCTCCTCTCCCCTGTCCTTCTGCTTCACCTTTTTCTCCTTCCATTGATGCAGCCATCCCTGCTATTCAGAGTGAGTACACCAGTCCCCTTTGCTGTTAACCACTCTGCAGTCACTAGAAAATCTCACAGCTGTAGGACGCCAGCTGTGAGAGGAGTGGAAGGTCTTTCCTACGTCTGTTCTCAAAGTGTGGATCATCAGACCTTGAAAGAGGATGGGAAGTCATTTTCTCCCTCATCAACCCATCCCATTCTCCCCCTGCCATCTTGTGCTCCAGATGTTGAGGACAGCATTCCAAAATGCTGCTGACGATGGACTCTCTCCTACTTGTCACCAAGCTGTGTCAGTGAGAACCAAGCTCTCACAGCCTCTAGTGCAGAAAGGGCAGAGGAACCTTAAACATCATTCATCTGAAAATTTAGTGATGGTTAATAGAGGAATGTCTCCTGGGGTCTGAATCTTTTCTTTTCTTTTCTTTTCTTTTCTTTTTTTTTTTTTGAGACAGAGTTTCACTCTTGTTGCCCGGGCTGGAGTGCAATGGCATGGTCTCGGCTCACTGCAACCTCCGCCTTCCAAGTTCAAGGGATTCTCCTGCCTCACACTCCCAAGAAACTGGGATTACAGGCACCCGCCACCACACCCAGCTAATTTTTTTTAATTTTTAATAGAGACAGGATTTCACTAGGTTGACCAAGCTGGTCTCAAACTCCTGACCTCAGGTGATCTGCCTGCCTTGGGCTCCCAAAGTGTTGGGATTAGAGGCATGAGCCGCAGCACCTGGCCAGGTCTAAATATTTTCTGTAAGAAACACTAGCACCCCTTATAACCTTTTTTTCATCCTTTACAACCTTCTTCCTTAGTCAACTGAAGTTTGTCTGTTTCACAGTCAGCTGCACTGGGCACGTGAACTGTACACTGGACATGGCACCATGCAGGCCCCACACTTGGTTTCATGCTCTGCTGTCACCATCTTGAAATTCTCAACTTTTTGAATTAGGAGCCTGTATTTTCGTTTTGCATTGGATCCTGCAAATTATGTAGCCAGTCACACAGGGCTGCATTGTGGACCTATAGGCAGGACTTCTCTGTTGTGTTTCTGAGGCTGGCTAGAGTGGTGATGAATCACCTGGCTCTGGGGCCGGAGCTGGCATTTGAATCATGGCTCCTTTACTTACTAGACCTGTGGTCTTGAAAGTTCCTCAGCCTCTTGGTTGCTTTATCTGTAAAGTGGGATAATAATAGCATGTATTTCATAGGCTCGCTGAGAAGATAAAATATGTTAATACATATGAAACACTCAGAACAGTGCTTGGAACATAGTAAAAAGCTGTGCGATGTTGGATGTTTTGTTGCATGGCTATTCCAAGGTCACATGGCTCTGTATCTTTTGGCAGTGCATCTTGCATTTGGTGGTGAATCTGCCTGTTGAACTGAATTAGTTCTGTAATAGTCTCTGTTCATGAAAAGACTGCAGCAGAGTGAGCAAAGTGTGTGTGGAAGGGAGACCCAAGCTCTGCTTTTGCTCTGCCATGGAGCAGAGTTCTGTGTTAGCTCTCCCTTTTTCCTAACCCCACAGACATGACCCACTACTTAAAGCCGCGTTTCCCAAAGTGTGGACCTGCATGATTTTAGGTACCACATGGACCCAGCATTAAACAACATTCCATCTCATGGACAGTTATACATGTTTTATATTCTTTGCATCCACTGATTACATATAAAAAAAAGTCTCCACTCAGTGTTGATACATTTTTAACAACTATCACATACTTGTAAATTTTTCCTTTTTAATAAAGAAAAAAATGTTGCCTCCTGAATATGAAAGGAAAAAAAAAAAAAGTAGGAAAAAACAGGCCCAGGGCTTTGAGCCTGCATCAGACCATAGTATCTAGTTGGAATGTTAAACATTATAATGGTCTCATTGTATTTGTTTCTAGGATTAATTTATGAATAGAGAAACTAGTTTTTCCATGTAAGGTAATAATCCAAAGTTTCTGACTTGGAGCAAAATAACATGTGAGAGAGTCTAACAGTGTTTAAAAATAAGAAAATATTAGCAACGAAACACAGGGCTATGGTCAAAAGCAGAATGGAAAGTGTGAGGCCACTGAAAAACAGATTGGGTCAGTTTAACAACAGTTAGCATAAGCATCACAAAGTATAATTTTCTTTCTTTTTTTTTTTTGAGACTGAGTCTCACTCTGTCCCCCAGGCTGAAGTACAGTGGCACAATCTCAGCTCACTGCAACCTCTGCGTCCTGGGTTCGAGTGATTCTCCTACCTCAGTCTCCTGAGTAGCTGGGATTACAGGTATGTGTCACCACACCTGGCTAATTTCCTGCTGATTTTTTTTTTTTTTGCATTTTTAATAAAGACAAAGTTTCACCATGTTGGCCAGACTGGTCTTCAAATCCTGACCTCAAGTGCCTTGGCCTCCCGAATGGCTGGTATTACAGGCATGAGCCACCGTGCCTGGCCGACAATATGATTTTCATCACAGAAATGTAATACACATTTGGAAAAAAAAAAGCAATGAGCAGTAGGGAAAACTAAGGACGAAGTATTTGCTAAGCAGTGTCTCCCAGGATAGCAAATGGAAGCGCAGCGTAATATAGCTCAGGATAAGAGCTAGGTAATACAGCCAGGGAGGAACCTTGGTGGAGTAAAGAGGAGTAAAGGAAAGAAGCGTTTTTGGTTTAAGGGAAAATAGAAAATTGCAATCCTATCTAGTACGGAACATGTGCATTCTTTAGACGTGACTGCGATCATGCAGACAGTTAGGCATCTTTGTGAGCCTCACCTGTCCTTTTGGTTGCATTTCCAATGCCTGGACAAAGGCTGAAGCTCTGTGGTGTCCTGGCTGATTTGGCCTGTTGCTTACATCATTCTTCCGGTCTTCATTGTGAAGAGTGAATCAGCAAGTCAGTGGTTTCCTTGTAAAGCACAATTTATTTATGTTTTTTAAAAAGTGAATTTTAAAAATAAAAAAATCCAGGGGGAACCTGGATTTGTGAAGGCGGTGAAGGCTTGTGCCATTTCTATTAGTTCTCCACCCACTTCCCATCCTCTCTCCACCCTTCTCTGTCCTGCTCTATGCCCTGAGCCTGTTGATGCCATGTCAATGTGTTATTTGCCTTCTGGCTTCTGTTGGCGGGGGGTCCTTAATGGAGAGCACTAGCAGGTAAGTGGGGGAGGAGGAAGAGTGGAGTCAGAAAATCTGTGCTCCTGCTCCCTCCCTGCGGGTTGCTGCTGGCTGGTTGTGTCCCTCCACGGCAGGTCTGCAGCCCCTGCTGCTTTCCCTCCTTCTCTGGCCTCTTCAGGACTAGGGTAGTAGCAGCTTCTACTGCCACTAGTTTCAGGGAACTGCATTATCCCTGTAGTTTCCCCACGAAATACTATTGCAAATAGTCTTTCTGTTAAATTATTCTCAAATAACCCAGACTGAGCGCACCATCTGTTTTTTGCTGGGATATGGCTGATACAAGTTTATTTACAAAGATCAAAGTTAGGGAAACGCTAATCCAGAAGAAATCTACCTGTATTCCCCAAAATCTCTCTGATCTCTTAAACCTTCCAGATAGCCAGAGGAGGTAATGGTCAGGGTTGGTAAACGGTGCAGTCTTCCTCCCCACCCTTCATCCCCTCTCTTGTTCCAAATACTTCTTTCAGTTGCTATTTTAATAGAGATAATGTAATACTGTTTTCTCCAATCCCACAGAGTATAAATCGCAATCTTCTGTAAGTAACAGAATTCCATTCAAGTAAAACAATTAAATGATTCGGGTACTCCATGAAGTTTTATTCTTAAAAAATTCTTTATTCTATAAACGTTTCTATTGAATCCTAAGTACAGATGCCCAAGGAGATGAAGCAACTGCAGTTAAGTATGCATAGGAAAGCTCAAATGGGTATGTACAGAAGACGAGCAATGGAAACCAAGTTCTGTCAAATGAGTTCTTCCTCCCCTCCAGGATAGCTAATTATGGGGAAAATAAGAAAGAGCTTTGCCTTTCTCCTTAGTAGTAATGGTCTACAGTAAGCTGCACGCACACATCCCTCATCACAGCTCCCTCAGAGAAAAAAATGCAGGGACATGTGTCTTGCCCAGGTTAAACTATACACAGGCTATCTTCAGATTATGAGAAACAGTCACACTTGCTTGTAAGTTCACTGGTTCAGGTAAGCAGACCATCTTTTTACTGTAAGAGAAGAGCAATAAGAGAGCAGGTTCTTGGTTGGTCAGGAGGCAGGGCTTGGCATTGTGTGGCTTTTGAGTTCCCGTGATGTCTGGTGAAAGAAGTCTGCAACCACCTACAATTAAAAGCCAGTTCCTGTGGTCCAAGTGCCCAGGGGTGGTAAAGCTGATGACATAAATGCCTTTAGAGGATGGGAAAGGGGATGTGGATTCTGGATCCACACCCATGAATGTGACCCATGACACATTTGGAGTGAGGACATGGAGGAGAAAATATGCAATGAGAAAACTTTGTTCTAATAAAATCTTACACAGAAACCAAATATGTAGAATAAATACGGTGGAGTTTCCCCAATCCAAGATGGTCCCACAGGAGGTTCTGGAAAACCCTGGGTCTCTATCATCTCTGCTTCTAAGATGTTAATCACCATCACAGGATTGAACCTCAACAGGCAGCACATCTATGGCCAGGATTGATCCTTGATATGTGTGTGTGTGTGTGTGTGTGTGTGTGTGTGTGTGTGTGTGTGTCTGGGGCGGAGGTGGATGCTGGGGCTTACCTGTCATGGACAGGCAAAGGAGCGGTGCAGAACTTCCCAACAATGGTAGTCCAGTCTTTTTTCCAAACTCGACTGGAAGACTGCAACTTGAATTTTACTTGGTTTATCTGGCACTGCGGGGTGGCATGGGCTATGATTCCTTTCCCCTGCCACTGCTGCTTAGGGCTGCAAGAAAAGGGGAAAGGGAAAGTCAATGACTGCAGCACTCACTGCCTGTACTTCCGCTTCGGCTCTGCTGGGGCTCTGCTGGGGCTCTGCTGGTGGCACTGGTTGTCTGTCAAGCACCAGCGGGTTGGTTCCTTACCACAGTCCTTTGTGTCACCCTCACCAGCCCCTCTGCCCCACGCCTACAGCTCTGAATATGACCAAGAAAGTCGTTGTTGATTTTCTAGAGTGAACAAGTGGACACTGCAGCGAAATCGTCGCTCTTGGATTTTCGTATCTGGAAAAACTGTTCTGTTCCTCATTCTTGGATTCCCAGCTGGAGGAGACCTTCACTTTCAGATCCAATTACCCAGAAATAGAAACCTCTTTTAGGACATTTCTTTCAAAGAATTTTATGTAAGAACTACTTTGTTTTAGGCTAGGTTTGAATGTGTGGGTGGAAACAGCAACAACAAGAAAACAGATCATGAAGCACAGACAGAGCTGCGTGGAACCCAGGTTTTGTCTTTCCAGTTGTACAGCTTTGGACGAGTAACCTAACCTGGAAAGGTGGCTGTGGAGGCACATAGCAACTAGGTCTAAGTCCCAGCTTTCCTACATGCTGCTATGAACTTAAACCACAGGGTTTGGTTCATACTGATTTCAGCCTAGGAGGCTCAGAGTGAAAACAGCATCCAGTTCTCTCTTAACCCTCCCTCTTGGCTTTGCCTCTCAGATTTCCCATCTGTTTAAAGATTCACCACCTTGGAATGAGACAAAGATGAGTGGGGGGCATGAAATGATCAGCCTAGCAGGGTGCTTTCCAAAGGACTGTGGTACCCCCTTACCTACTAAGTACCCAAGACAAAAGCAAAAACTCATGAGATTTTCAGTGAGGAAAGTCTTCCTCCTGGGTGCAAGGCACAGCCCAGCCAGCAAAGCCTGAGGCTGTTGAGTGGGGGATCAGGGAGGGCGCCCAGCAGGGTGGCACTGCACAGCCCTGGGGTTGTGTGTGTGAGAGGTGGGGGTTGGAGTCAGTTTAGTTTAGTTTTGTTTTGATTTGGATGGAGTTTCTCTCTCGTTGCCTAGGCTGGAGTGCAATGGCAGTCTCAGCTCACCACAACCTCTTTCTCCCAGGTTCAAGTGATTCTCGTGTCTCAGCCTCCTGAGTAGCTGGGATTACAGGTGTCTGCCACTATGCTCGGCTAGTTTTTGTATTATTAGTAGAGACGGGGTTTCTCCATGTTGGTCAGGCTGGTCTCGAGCTCCTGATCTCAAGTAATCCGTTCACCTCAGCCTCCCAAAGTGCTGGGATTACAGGCATGAGCCACCGTGCCCAGCTGGTGTCTATTTTTTAAAGCTCTCCAGGTGATTCTAACATGCAGACAGGGTTGTGGGTCATTTTCGTGACTCTTGCCAGTGTTGCCGGACCTACCAATGGGCTAGAAGATTATGAAAACACCTTTCTAGAAGTAGCACCACCTTGAGCTGATCTAATGAAAGGTACTCGGCCGGGCGCGGTGGCTCAAGCCTGTAATCCCAGCACTTTGGGAGGCTGAGGCGGGTGGATCACGAGGTTGAGAGATCGAGACCATCCTGGTCAACATGGTGAAACCCTGTCTCTGCTAAAAATACAAAAAACTAGCTGGGCGTGGTGGCGCGTGCCTGTAATCCCAGCTACTTAGGAGGCTGAGGCAGGAGAATTGCCTGAGCCCAGGAGGCGGAGGTTGTGGTGAGCCGAGATCACGCCATTGCACTCCAGCCTGGGTAACAAGAGCGAAACTCCATCTCAAAAAAAAAAAAGAAAGGTACTCGGCTAATTGATAGCCAGACACAAATCTGCCAGGCCCCGTGGGCACCTGCAGGCCTGTGTTGCAATCCCAATGGCTGTACCTAGCTGAATGACCTTGGGTGAGTCGGGAGGAACCCCAGCTAGTGGCCATGGGTTTGAGAGCGAAGAAATGTGCTCCTTTCAGCAGAAACTTGTAGTGCCTCTTAACAGAGTTCATGTCCGACATCCCAGCCTGAGAAATATCTCCAAACTCGCATCTGATCTCATCACTGTCCTATTTAAAACTCCCAGTGGCCCTCCAAACCACTCTCAGAATAAAAACCTGTCCTTCAAGGCCTGGCAGAGTCTGGCCCCGACTTACCTCTCTAGCTTCACACCATCCCCGTCACCCCAAATCTGTGATCCAGACACACCCGAAGTGTCATATTCTCCCTAAACCTGGCCTGAGTAGTTCCTGGAAAGCCTTGAAATCTCCGCTCATCATATCATTAGCCTCTGTCAGGATCCATCTTCTATGCTGTCACTCTTAGGGCATTGCTCACACATTTACGTATCTGTGCACTGGTCATTTCTCTGTTTGCTCTGGATTGATCTATTCCCCTGCAGTTTCCCCCACCAGCAGGTTCCAGCAAGGTCTAATCCAGTGGAAGCAAGCTCAGGTGGGCGGCTTTGGGCAGGGATTCCAGAAGGACTGCAGTTCCCATGGGTTCAGCTCCTGCCAAGCAGCCTACCCCATGGACCCAGCTTTTCCAGCATCATCCCTGCTCTGTCCCTCTAGCCCGAGGCCGGTAGTGGCTCATTGCTCCTGTTGTGAGTAATCTCTGCATTGCTTCCTCATCTTTCTTGCAGTTTTCCGGCTCATCCAACACACTTGTAATGAGTGCGCTCTGCTAAATTCCTTCTCTTGGACCATCTCTGTTTTCCTGACTGGACCCTGACTGAGACAGTGACATTATCTGACAGTGCCTCCCACTAGCTTGTGAATAAGTAGCCAGCTGCTTTTTAAAGAAGCATGCACCATGGTTGCTGACTTCCTATCCCCTGCAGGCTGTGGATCCCTGCAGTTGGGGTTCTTTGCCCTCTCACTTCAAGCGTGGTCCCACCAGTCCCTAAGCCCAAGTCTTTTTTTGGGAAGGGAATGATTAGCCCCAGTTCCAGGAATCACCCAGCATCAAGCCCTCCTGGCCACTAGTCTGGCCCTCAGCTAGCACTCATTTGCTGACTGGCCCTGTGCCTCAGATTCTGTTCTGGTAACTGACCTAGAACTGCTCCCCTTTCCCAGGACTGGGTGCTCTCCAGGCTCTGGCTAGCCCTCCCTGGGCTAGTGACTGAGGCCCTCCTACCTACTGACATCCCTGATACTCATACTGCCTGGATTCCCGAGTGCTGTTTCCTCTCAGGGGCCTGATTCCTATGTCCTCTCCACCTGCTGGGACATGCCATTCCTGCTGCCTGCCTGCCCTGCCTGCTCTCATCTGAATTTGCTATGCTTGGACCTACTACTGAACAGCTCCCAGCATGTGCCTGTGGCTGGATCTGCAGTAGGTGCTGTCCCTAGCCCAGCCAGCTGGGCTCATGTATCAGCAATTTCACAGCACCTGACCTGGGATGTCCATGTGTGTCAAACGAAAAGGTAACCGACTCCTAAGGGGAGGGGCCAGCCAGGTGGGACACTTACGTACATGGTGATCATAACCGAGGAGGTGACGTTACAGCTAAGGAAGGTAACCTCGATGTTGGTGTCCTTGTTTCTCAGTTCCTTCATGTGAAACTCCACCAGGTTGTGATGCGCTAGGAAACCAAAGCACAGCAGAGACTGGGCCCAAGGGCAGAAGGCACAGAGAGCAGCAGTGAGGTTGGGAATCTTAGTAGCTTAGTAGCTGTGTGCCCAGGAGCAGTTTATTTATAATCTCAGATCCTCAGTTTTCCCAAGTGTAAACTGGTGACAATAAAAATAGATAACCTAGAGGTCTGAAATAAATGGGTTAATAGGTATGAAGTCCTCAGGACAGTGCCGGTGCCTAGGAAGCCTTCAGTAACACTAGTTTTTGTTATTTTGTAATACTAATGTTTCACTTCCCCTTGTTTGGTGACATTTTCATGGTGGGATGATCTTATCCAAACAGCGTCTGTCATATGCAGCTATCCTTTGAATGTTTGTGTCCTCTCCAGATTCATGTTTAAACTGAATGCTCTGTGCAACAGTATTGAGAGGTGAGGCCTTTGGGGGAAGGGATTAAGTCATGAAGGCTCTACCATCATGAACGAAATAGTGCCTTATAGAAGGGCTCAAGGGAACTAGGCAGGCCCTTTTTCTGTGTCTGTCTGAGAGGGCGGACACAGAACACAGTGTCTGTCCCCTCTGGAGAATGCAACAGCAAAGCACCTTCTTGGAAGCAGAGAGCGCAACCCAAACAGACATGGAATGCCAGCGCCTTCACCTGGGACTTCCCAGCCTCCAGAACTGGGGGAAAATAGATTTCCGAGTTTTGTAAGTTACCCAGTTTCAGGTACTGTGTCATAGTAGCACAAAGAAACTAAGACATAAACTAAAGAATTAACTCACAAGGCTGGGCACAGTGATCCCAGCACTTTGGGACTCATGCCTATAATTCTAGCACTTTGGGAGGTGGACGGATCACCTGAGGTCAGGAGTTTGAGACCAGCCTGGCCAACATGGTGAAACCCCGTCTCTACTAAAAATGTAAAAATCAGCTGGACATGGTGGCGGGCACCTGTAATCCCAGCTACTTGGGAGGCTGAGGCAGGAAATCACCTGAACCCGGGAGGCAGAGGTTGCAGTGGACTGAGATGGTACCATTGCACTCCAGCCTGGACAACAAGAGTAAAACTCTGCCTCAGAAACAAACAAAAAAGAATTAACTCATAAGATATAGCAACGGCGCTGCTCCCCACACACCCAGCGTCAGGGAAGGAGGCTGTGTGTGTAGGAGACTGCTCCCCTCCCTGCAGTCGCTGGTTGCTTATGTGGCATCTGGACTCTCCCTTGAGCAGTGTGGATGCTGGAGCTCTCAAAGTGAGTGTCGCCAACATAGACTGGGTGTGCAGCTTGTACCACGGTGATACCCCTGGGACCTGCTGTCCCTCTGGCAAGAGAAGGTAAGAAAGATTACAGGCCAGGCATGGTGAGAGATGCTTGAAATCCTAGTACTTTGGGAGGTTGAGGTGGGCAGATTGCTTGAGCCCAGGAGTTCAAGTCCAGCCTGGACAATGTGGCAAGACCCCATCTTTACAAAAAAACAAAAACAAAAAATTAGCTGGGCATGTGGTATGTGCCTATAGTCCCAGCTACTTGAGAGGCTGAAGTGGGAGGATCACCTGAGCCAAGGAGCTTGTGGCTGCAGTGTACCATGACTGTGTCACTGCACTCCAGCCTGGGTGACAGTGGGAGACCCTGTCTCAACAAAAGAACAAGTAAAATTTTTAAAATTTAAGAAAAGCCAGGCACGGTGGTTCACACCTATAATCCCAGCACTTTGGGAATCTGAGGCGGGCAGATCACCTGAGGCTAGAAGTTCAAGACCAGCTTGGCCAACATGGTAAAATCCTGTCTCTACTAAAAATATAAAAAATTAGCCTGGTGTGGTAGTGGGTGCCTGTAATCCCAGCTACTCAGGAGGCTGAGGCAGGATAATTGCTTGAACCCAAGAGGCAGAGGTTGCAGTGAGCCGAGATGGCGCTACTGCACTCCCTCCTGGGCAATAGAGTAAGACTGTCTCAAAAAAAAAAAAAAAAAAAAAAAATTAAGAAAAGAAAGATTACAGTTTCCCTAACACACTGTCCTTTCTTTATTAAGGGGTAGGTGCACCTGGTGGCATTTTGTAATCATTTTAGTGTCAGAAAATTTTTCCCGGGCTCCTTTGGTGATGAGGACACAGCTAGAGATGCAGATCTTCGCCTCTCCTCTACCTGTACTTCTTCATTTGTCACATTTTATGGGCTAATTTTGGGGAGAGGAACATAAACTTGATGCAGGTGAACTGAGCACTAAGTTGGAGGAGTGCTATGGCCAATCTGGGCTCCCTGGGGCTAGTAACAGGGCTCACCAAAAGGTGCCAAGATGCCAAGAACCCGAGAAGAAAAGAGCCTTGCATGCTTCCCCTCCATGGAGGAGGACATCGGACACCGCATCCCTCTGTCTCTCCTTCTCAGTTGTTACTATGGAATATCAATTGTTATGGGTATGGGCAAGAGCTGAACTGGAATGGAGGATATTTGCAACGTGGAAAAAAAAGCTAACTTACATAAGCGTTTGGAATTTAATTATCAGGGCTGAGTTCCCTATATTATATTATGAATACTTCTTTCTTTGCTAGCAGGTATCGTTAAGAAAGTTTTCTAAGATTCTGTGGTAGGTAACGGTCGTCCACGCAAGGGTCCTTTCGTCACTGAGAAGAGATGGCTCTTGCCTGCGGTGATGGTGGTTAGCAAGATGAACAAAGATGTGCAAATGAGAGCAGCGATTACCAAAAGTTGATAGAAACTGGAGAAAGAGAACAACTCAGAGTTGCCAAGACCTAAATTAATTGAAAGTGGCTGGAAGGGTCAGTTGAGGTCACACTGTAAATAGGTAATTAAAGAAAAAGGGCTAGAACACGTTACTGTTGATGACTTGGTGGTGAAATCACTCCAAAACGCGGAGCCCTGGTACCTGACAGTGTAAAGTATGAGCTCCTACAAAGAATAAGAACGTTCCTTACTCAGCATGCCAGCCTTTAAGATTAAATTAGATCGTGTTGTTCTGTGGTTTTATTTCTGAAAGTAAAATTTGCCATAAATTAGAAAACAGTTTCCCAAAATAAAATCCTTTTTTGTGTGATGGTATACAGTTTTCAGTAATGATGTATACATTGTATTGATTTTTTTCCCCTAAATGTGTTATTTTAATAAATATCTCATGAATGAAAAACAAACAAAAAAACAAAAAAACCAGGTTCTTGCTCTGTTGCCCAGGCAGGAATACAATGGCACAATCAGCTTACTGTACCTTGAACTCCTGGGCTCAATCAATTTTCTCACCTCAGCCTCCCTAGTAGTGAGAACTACAGGTGAGCACCATCATGCCTGGCTAATTGTAAACAATTTTTGTGGAGACAGGGTCTCACTATGTTACTCAGGCTGGTTCAAACTCCTGTCCTCAAGCGATCCTCCCACCTTGGCTTCCCAAAGTGCTGGGATTACAGACGTGAGCCACTGCACCTGGCCTGCTTCTTCCTTTGCTAAGTTACCCTGGAGCCCCCAAGGGAGCCAGGCCTAATGTTGGGTGGGTGGGAATTGGTAGTGAAATCAAATCTGCACAGGAGCATGTCTCATATCGTACAACACAGAGTCCAGGGTGGCTGGTCAGGAGGCCTGGATCCAAGGCCCAAACCTGCTGCTTACAAACCATGCTGTTTTGCCTGAGACAGTGAACCTCTCTGTGCCCCAGTTCCCTCATCTGCAAGCAATAGTCCCCAACATTATCACACAGGACATGGTAAGGATGGAGTGAAGTAATAGAGAGAAGGTACACTGTGTGAAAAACCATTCTATGAGGGATAATATTGTTTAAAAAATATTATTTGGTAGAAGATCCTCTGCCCATGCTGGTGCATGCTCGGCACAGGTCAGCATTGCTGAAGTCAAAGCAGGCAGAGGGTGCTAGGCATGGGAGCCCAGGGCCATGATGGCCTGAGAGTGGCTGGAGAGCTGCTGGCCCCTACCCCCTCTTGAACATACCCATGTCTGTCCAGGGAGAGCAGGGATGACCCAGCTTCCACCCCTAGAAGTGACAGCTCAGGGCAGAGCCTGAAGGCAGGCAGGCCTGTTTCTGTGCCCCTCTGTGGTGTTGGATCAAACAGGGCTATGCTTCTGGGAGCGTGGGGAGGTGGGCTCAGAGCAAATATGAAACAGTCAGAAAATATATGACTCTGTGAATCCTCTTGGCAGGGACCTTAACCTGCTTTTAATCTCCAGGCATTCCCCACACGTTCCTGCTGGGTGTATTCTAAGCTGCGCAGACACAGAGGCGCCAGTTCAGGTTGCTGTGAACCTGCCCAGTTCAGGTAACAGTTTCCCTAACACGCTGTCCTTTCTTTATTAAGGGGTAGGTGCACCTGGTGGCATTTTGCAATCACTTTAGTCTCAGAAATTTTTCCCAGGCTCCTTTGGTGATGGGGAGTGGACCTATTCCAGCAGCTGGAATTCAAAGTCAGGATGTCTGGTCTTGGCGGCACCACCTCAACCACCAGACAAAACCTCCTCCTGCATGCCGACTCTGTGATGGGGTGGTGCTGACAGAAGGAAAGCAGAGAAATATGGCTTACAGACAGCAGAATCTCAGAAGGTGGAACCATGGTGGCGGCAAGGAAGGAGTATAGATTTTGGAGTCAGAAGACCTGGAGTTGAGTTCTGACCTTTTCACCCAGCTGCGGAGCCTTGGGCATGCCACTTGGTCTACCAGAGCTTCCCTTTCACTGCACCTGCCTCTCCCAGTTGGGTTGTTGAATGAGCTGATATGGGTGTGAAAAGCCCACAGTTGATTCTGCAGCCCACTTTATTCCTAAGAGCTAGCCATAAATTTTCTCTGGCATGAAGGTAGAAACACCCTAACTATTCTTCTGCCAAATTCTCTAATTGACTAAGGGAAGGAAATTATTACTGATTGGGTTCCAGTCCCTGTGCTAGTGATCTCCTGTGTGCTGTTTTATTTTATACTCACAGTTGATTCTTTGAAGTAGGTACTGTTATGGTTCCCATTTCCACATGAGGATATACAGTTCAGAAAGGTTAAATAACTTGCTCCTGATCATACAGCTGGTAAGTGGAGAAGCTGAGATTCGAATCCAGGTCTGGGTGAGCATAGAGTCTAAGCTCTGGGCTCCATATCACACACGGTACCAGGAACCAGGCCTTCTAGTACCAGGAAGATATTGTCACAAAGATCCCTCCACTGACCCAACACAAGCTGATCAGAAAATCAGTTAAAATTGGGTGGCATATAATTTATCATCTAAACCAGCATACTTCATCCTGTACATATAAAGCTGACAGGACCCCAGGACATCTGGCATAAACCAGGAAGTATAGTCACCCTCGTTAAGATGCACATAGCATAGGGAAGATGATGGTTCAGTTTGTAATGTATTTCATGGATTCTAAGACAAATTTTTCATTCACATTTAACATTGTTACAATCACCGGCATCTTCACTTCAAAGAAATGTGGTGGTTAGGAACGACAGTGAGAAGCTGGAATGCATCTGTGAAGGGGAAGGACAGCAGAGGGAAAGGTTCAGTATTCCCCAGGAACCTTAGTGGCTGCCAGGGTGAGAACCACATAGGGTGGGCACCAAGGAGTGAGAAATGGGAGTGCAGAAAGGAGGTGGCCAGAGGACAACCCTAAATGCCACTCTAGAGAGAAGGCCCACTGGAGGATAAATTTTGAGGTAGGAGGAAACAGGATCAGTAGATAATGGTAAGAAACCCCCAAGTCCTCATCTGAAGAGCAACCGGTTGGACTCACTCTGAAAGTTTTGGTTCAGACAAGGGATGTTGCCCCACCTCCAGTGATACCTTTGCCCTTGTTGTTCACTCCCACCCAGCCTACCACACTGGGCTGGGCACAGCCCAAGCCGGAGCCCTGGACTCTTTGGGCAGCACCCTGGCAGAGCGAAGCTCATGCATTTCCCCTACTCACTGCAGTACGGTGCACTAGAAGTGGTCAGGAGGTAGACTTTCACTTCCTTGGGGAGCGGCTCTATCTTGACACCACCTTGTTTCACCAGTCCTGGAAATAAAGAAGCAAAGATAGCAGAGTCCTGAGAAGGCTATCTTAGGGTCCCAAGCCCACAGCCACATGTTTATTAATTCACTCACTTATTTATTCCACAGACATCTATATTATACACTCACTATGTGCTGTATTCTGGGGTGAGTCCTGGGATACCAGCAACTCAGTCTAGTGGGCAGCAAACACACAGATAAAGGGAAGTACATTTTTCAGATCATCTGACTCATTATTCGCAGGTCATTATAAGAAATCTGAAGGGCTGGGTGCGGTGGCCCATGTCTGTAATCCCAGTACTTTGGGAGGCCGAGGCGGGCGGATCATGAGATCAAGCGATTGAGAACATCCTGACCGGCCGGGCGCGGTGGCTCAAGCCTGTAATCCCAGCACTTTGGGAGGCCGAGGCGGGTGGATCACGAGGTCGAGAGATCGAGACCAACCTGGTCAACATGGTGAAACCCCGTCTCTACTAAAAATGCAAAAAATTAGCTGGGCATGGTGGTGCGTGCCTGTAATCCCAGCTACTCAGGAGGCTGAGGCAGGAGAATTGCCTGAACCCAGGAGGCGGAGGTTGCGGTGAGCCGAGATCGCGCCATTGCACTCCAGCCTGGGTAACAAAAGCAAAACTCCGTCTCAAAAAAAAAAAAAGAAAGAAAGAAAAAGAGAACATCCTGACCAACATGATGAAACCCCGTCTCTACTAAAAATGCAAAAATTAGCTGGGTGGGCCTAGTGTTGCATGCCTGTAGTCCCAGCTACTCGGGAGGCTGAGGCAGGAGAATCGCTTGAACCTGGGAGGCAGAGGTTGCAGTGAGCTGAGATTGCACCACTGCACTCCAGCCTGGTGACAGATCGAGACTCTGTCAAAAAAAGAAAAAGAAAAAGAAGAAGCAAGCAAGCAAGCAAGCAAGAAATCTATAACTGTATCTCTAACTTGCAAAACCAATCTCCTATAGCAGTTGTTTTCATAACACTTACATCCCATGCAGTGGGAGGGAGCACAGTGAAGCAGGAAGTGTTTGACCTGAAGACTAGTGGATGGCAGGTGGGGAGAGGGCATTCTGAGAAGACAGTATGGTTAGGACAAAGTCACACAGGTGAGGAGACTCGAGGTACACTTGGAAGTACAAGTAGTTAGCACCATTGGGAGTTTAGGGCAAGAGAAAGTGTAGTGAGAGATGAGGCTGGGCAGACAGTGTAAGGCCGTTGTTACACCTGCGGGTCCATGGCATCTGGGGGAAACTGACATATGCAAAACGAGTAGGAAATTTGCTCTTTCATTGAAAATGCCCCACTTTACTATTTTGTCAAGCTGGTACCCACTTCATTCATATAAGCAATGACAGGCTGCTGCCGTTCAGTGGCAGACAGAAGTAGTGGGAAGTATGAGAGTGTGGAAGGGAGAGAAACCACTTCTACCACCCAGGAGTTTTTCCTGGAGCTCTTCATCCTGGATAACTACAGCATATTCATGGCAGTCATCTGCACAAATGAAGTAGAGGACAGATCCTGCAGTCTTCCTGGCATCCTTTCCCCAGACTGGCCTGGATCATCCAGGAAGCTGTCCAAGCCCCTCAGCAACTAGGCATCCCCCCAGCTGCCATGACGCCACCAGAATTTCAGACCTCTAATGTGGATCTTGTGTTCCACTCTTAGGGATTCCCCACCACACAGAGATTTAGGGTCTATGAAGAACTGAAAAATGACCAGAAGTGAAAAAGATGTATAAACAGCATCTGGTCTGAGAGTGGGGGGACCTGAATGTGGAAAGGGTGGGTGTGGAGCAAGAATGGCCATAGGGAACACTATAGAGGGTTAAGAGTGGGGCATGAGGATCAATCACCCACCTCCAAGTAAGAACAGGCTGAGCACCTCATCACTTTATTTTCCTTTCCTCAGTTGGATAGAATTCTTGACCACAGGAGATCAGGACATTAGGAGGGGATAACTAGCAGGGCTTGAATTTTCCCCACATTGTCAAAGGAAGTCAAAGGGGTAGGATTTTACCTATCCTTGGGCAGGAAAGCAGAAAAGGGTTAAAGCAATCCAGACAGTGTCCGGCAAGGAAGGCCTTGTAGCTGGCACAGGGAAAGGCCATCAGTGGACAGGAATTCTCCAGGACGCTGATATAGAGGTCCACAGCCCTCATGTGATCACAGAGTAGATAGTGATAACCTGAACAGAAAAAAAAACACAACCAAGGTTCCCGTAAAGACAAACAAAAACTTCCCCCATGCTGCTTACTGAAACTCTTGCCTTTTATATTCCAGTAAGTCATAAACACATGAGTGATCCCTCAAATCACTTTTTAAAAATAGTAATGTACATGGTTACTACATTCTGCTTTGTGCAATGGTGAGATCTCAGCCCACTGCAACCTCTGCCTCCTGGGTTCAAGCGATTTTACTGCCTCGGCCTCCTGAATAACTGAGATTACAGGTATGCACCACGATACCCAGCTAATTTTTGTATTTTTGGTAGAAACAGCATTTTGTCATGTTAACCAGGCTGGTCTCAAACTCCTGATCTCAGGTGATCCACCTGCCTCAGCCTCCCAGAGTGCTATGATTACAGGTGTTAGCCGCCATGCCTGGCCTTGAGATGTACTGTTGCATGATCATGCAGATTCTCCTTCATAAAATGGGAATATATACAGAGTTGATGATGGATGCTGTCCCACTTCTCAAAATGGATATTTGTACATATTTTTACCTTCTTCATCACCAGCCATACAACCAGTTTTCTACAACCTCATTGTACTCAACCCAGCAGTGAGACAGTCAAAGGCATCAGTAGCACTTGATGGTCACTGTCTATAGCTGATGTGCTGAGGCTCACAGGGCCAAATGACTGATATGCAGAATTTGCCAAATATCCCAATTTACCAAAACTTGGTTTCATTGTTGTTTACTATTTAAGTTTGCAGCAACCAACATTGTGTAAATTGGCTGAACCTAAGAAGTTTGTGGTGAGCTACAACTCCAGGGTCCTGGGGTCTTCAAACTCTCCCTGCACCTTGAGACCCCATTGCTGAGACCTGCAACCAAGGCCGAGATGTATTTTGACTTTCCTCCCCTCCACCACTTGTGATTGGGAAACTCTCTATGGCCAAGCTCCTTCTAGCTGCAACAGGGAGCTGGGGCAGAGAAACTAAACGCTTCTCAAATCGTGTTATGAAGAAAAAATGAAAAGTGGTCAACTGAAATGCCACCAAATCTTCAAATGCCATTGAAACCAAACAATCCTATTTTATATAGAATTGCTGAGAAATTTATAAATTGCAAAAAGAACCATGTTTTTGGAAACTAGTAAATTTGGTAAAATAGATTAATAGTTATTTAATAAGATTGTCAAAGGAATCCTTAAAATGTTAGAAATTTGGTAAAGCAGGAAAAGACTAAAAACACAATAAACAGAAATCAGCATTTTAAATTTTTATGTGAAATGCTGATATATTGACTATATTCATAAGATATAAGAAAACCAAATAATTATTGGTCTTAGCTTTTGACAAATTTAGTATTAAAGTAATGCGAAGAACATACCAATAAATATATGAAAAAGAACATTCCAGAAGGCTACATTTAAAGAGAGGAAATGTATAGTCATTGAATGTACAGTCCTTTCCCCCGTGATAGAGGAAAAAAAGATCATCTTGAAAACAATTTTAGAGAACTGGTAGAGTTGGTAAGTATGCTGAAATGATCGTGCAGTGAATTGATCCTTCTGCTCACTAGCTTTGGGCACAATGGCTTGCTTCGGCCACAGTAAGGCTCTGTAGAGGATGCAGTTGGTGTGGACTGTGCCTTATGCCACACCCTCCCCTCAAATGCCTGGGCTCTGAAGATATCCATCCTTAAATACACACTGAGGAAGGCATTATGAGACATAGCAAAGGACACAGTCAAGCAGACCATCTGTGGTCCACTCTGGCTGACTCAGCACAAAGCCTGTTGGTGAATTTCAATCTCTGGGGTTGCCAAATACCAACTTTCACTGGCTTTCTGACCTGCGTGAAGGAAGGTAGGACAGCCAGGTTGGTCTTGGCCTCCATTGACGAAGTAGTCCACGTGTCCGACAGGAATCCGAATACCCAACTCTGAAAGGAGGTGGAATTCCATTAACTTCCTTACTTCAGAGCATATTCTCCAGGTCCCACAGCAGGGTCAGCTGGCAGCAGAGCTCAAATTCTGACCTCGGGAGCCCACATCCTCTGCCCACAGCACTTCTAAGTGCTGTGAAACTTCACAGGATGAGCCCTCAAACAATTTTCTTTTTTTCTTTTTGTTTTTGGAAAGGAGTTTCACTCTTGTCACCCAGGCTGGAGTGCAGTGGCACGATCTCGGCTCACTGCAACCTCCATCTCCTGGGTTCAAGTGATTCTCTTGCCTCAGCCTCCTGAGTAGCTGGGATTCCAGATGCATGCCACCACGCCTGGCTAATTTTTGTAACTTTTTTTAGTAGAGACAGGGTTTCACCATGTTGACCAAGTTGTCTGGAACTCTTGACCTCAGGTGATCCACTCACCCAGCCTCCCAAACAGTTTTCTAAAGGGGTTTTTCATGCTAAAAGAAACCAAAGAGATTTTGTTGGTAAGATGTTCATATTTGCCTAAGCAAATCAAGAAAAATACCCTGTGAAACAAGTAAATTTCTTCACTGAGTAGTTTTGGTTTTACTTTGAGTAATAGTTCAGGTAAACTTGTTTGGGGTCACATTTCCACAGTCTCCCCTGAAACATATATATCTTTGTGCTCTCCTGACTGAGTGGAAATCAGACGTGGCTCCAGAACTGAGCTAAGAGAGCATCCTCTGCCCTCATTTCTGCCCCTGTGACCAACTCCTGGACCCTCCACTATGGCAGACTTGAGCCCTCAGACTGGCTCAGGCACAGCTACTGAAGACCCCGACCTTCTCCTTCCTAGCATTTGTCACAATTGGAACTATTGGAAGAAGTTGATTTGTATTATTTACTTACTGCCATTGACCTGGAGGTTTAGCATTATGATAGAACTCCTCACTGTGCAACAGAAGCTCAGAGAGGACCAGGGCATCTCTGCCCAGGGCCATGCAACTAGACGCCAGCCTCCTAGGCCCTGCCTTGACCTCATTTTCTCGCCCCAGGAAGGTCACCCCAGCTCACTGTCAGTGTCTGTGTGGATGGCTTCCACGAAGAGGGCGTCTCCGGCATCCAAGCGCTCCTCCACACTGGCCCTGGTGTACTCAGGTCCAGCGGGGTCCAGACCTGTGAGGAGAGACTTATGTGAAGGACTCCTTTCCTCTCAGCTGCAGAAACACTCATGGACCCACCATACACCCACCCCTTCCAGTGCAGATCGTAGAGCCTCCCTGAAAAGACCCAAGGGTTGGGAGAATTAGCTGAGGACCATCTTCCTCAGAAAACTCCCCTCTCTCTTGTCTGTCTAGGGGGAATCCCTCAATGACCCAGTTCCTCTGGCTCTAAGATGAGCTTGATAACACCAACTGTTTGATAAGTGTTAATGAAAGTAATATTAACCTTCATGTAATAATAACAACAGCTACAATTTCTTTGAGCAGTTACAATGAACCGGGCCTTCCTTATGCTGTGCAGTTTTACGCACTCTAGTCCTCACCACAACACAGTGATTACTGTGAATAGTACTATTCCCATGTCTTAGTTTGGATCCCTTCCTTTCCCCCTACAACAAGCAGACCCTGCCACAAAAGTTCAAGGTAGATTTGGGAGAAAGTCTCAGAAAGCATGGTGAGGGAGTGGGAAAACAAGTCAGAGAATAAAGGAAAATATTCATGAGTATGGGCTACTGACTCCCACCCCACTGGAGCCCCTCTATGATACTGTGAAACAAGACTCAGAATTGTCCCTCCCAAAGGCCAGGAAATGGGTTTTGTTTTTTTTTGTTTTTTTTTGTTTTGTTTTTTGCCACACAGCTCTAGTCCCTTATTAACTGAGAGTGGCTCTGGAAGCATAAAGTGTCCCACACTTTTACATGTATATAACAAAAATAGCAAAACTGTCTGAAGACGATTTCCACAGGGGGCCAAGGAGATGTGGACTGTTACAACCATTTTACAGACGTAGGAAGTGAGGCTCAGAAAGAAAGAAAAGGGAAAGTCCTTGCCAGAGAAATCAGGCAAGAGAAAGAAATAAAAGTCATCTAAATAGGAAAAGAGGGGGACAAATTGTCTCTCTTCATCAATGATATGACCCTAAAGAAGAACGCTAAAGATTTGACTAAAAGACTCCTCGACCTAATAAACAACTCCAGCAAAGTCTCAGGACACAAAATCAATGTACAAAAGACAGCTGCATTTCTATGCACTAATAACGTTCAAGTTGAGAGCCCAATCAAGAATGCAATCTCATTTTCGATAGTCACACACAAAAATAAAACACCTAGAAACACACCTAACCAAAAAATGAAAGATCTGTAAAAGAAAACTCTAAATCCTGCTAAAAGAAATCATAGGTTGCTAGACGCGTGGCTCACACCTGTAATCTCAGCATTTTAGGAGGCGGAGGCAGGTGGATCACCTGAGGTCAGGAGTTTGAGACCAGCCTGAACAACATGGAGAAAACCTATCTCTACTAAAAATACAAAATTAGCCAGGCATGGTGGCACTTGCCTATAATCGCAGCTACTTGGGAGGCTGAGGCAAGAGAACCACTTGAATCGGGGAGGCAGAGGTTACTGTGAGCTGAGATTGTGCCATTGTACTCCAGCCTCAGCTCAAAAAAAAAAAAAAAAAAAGAAAAGAAAAGAAAAGAAAAAGAAATTACATATGACGCAAACAAATAGAAAAGCATTCTATGCTTTTTGCATAGTATTTGCAAATGTATTCTGTATTCTATGTAGGGTTGGAAGAATAAATATTATTAAAATGTTCATTTTGCCCAAAGCAATCTACAGATTCAATGCTATCCCCACCAAATTACCCATGTCATTTTCACAGAATTATAAAAATTTATTTTAAAATTCATATGGCACAATAAAGGGGCCCAAATAGTCAAGGAAATCCTAAGCAAAAAGAACAAAGCTGGAGGTACCACACTAACCAACTTCAAACTATACTATAAGCCTACAGTAATCAAACAGTATGGTACTGCTACAAAAATAGATACATAGGCCAGTGGAACAGAATAGAGACCCCTGAAATAAAGCAGCACACCTACAGCCATCAGGCATTTGACAAAGTTGACAAAAATTAACACTGAGGAAAAGGTACCCTATTCAATAAATGGTGCTGGGAAAACTGGCTGACCATCTGCTGGAGAATGAAACTGGGTCCCTACAACTCATCATATACAAAAATTACTCAAGAAGAATTAAAGACTTTAATGCAAGACCTCAAACTATAAAAAATCCTAGAAGAAAATCTGGGAAACATTCTCCTGAATATTGGCTTCGGCAAAACATTTATGACCAAGTTCTCAAAAGCAAACGCAAAAAAAACAAAAATTGACAAATGAGACTTAATTACACTGAAGACCTTCTGCACAGCAAAAGAAACAACCAATGGAATAAACAGACAACCTACAGAATGGGGGAAAATATTCACTAACTATGCATCTGACAAAAGACTAATATCTAGAATCTATAAGGGACTTGAACAAATCAACAAGAAAAAAACAAATAACCCCATTACAATGAGGGCAAAGACATGAAAGGAGACTTCTTTTTTTTTTTTTTTTTTTTTTTTTTTTTGAGACGGAGTTTCGCTCTTGTTACCCAGGCTGGAGTGCAATGGCGCGATCTCGGCTCACCGCGACCTCCGCCTCCTGGGTTCAGGCAATTCTCCTGCCTCAGCCTCCTGAGTAGCTGGGATTACAGGCACGCGCCACCATGCCCAGCTAAGTTTTTGTATTTTTAGTACAGACGGGGTTTCACCATGTTGACCGGGACGGTCTAGATCTCTCGACCTCGTGATCCACCTGCCTCGGCCTCCCAAAGTGCTGGGATTACAGGCTTGAGCCACCGCGCCCGGCCGAAAGGAGACTTCTTAAAAGAAGACATATGAGTGGGTAACAAACATGAAAAAATGCTCAACATCACTAATCATCACATCATGATATATGCCATCTCACACCAGTCAGAATTGCTATTATTAAAAAGTAAAAAACAAAAAAAACAGATTTTGGCAAGGTTGCAGAGAAAAGGGAATACTTATACAGTGTTGATGGGTGGAAAGCAGTCTGAGGATTCCTCAAAGAACTAAAATAAAATTGCCATTTGACCCAGCAATCCCATTACTAGATATATGCCCAAGGGAAAAGAAATTATTCTACCAAAAGAATACCTGCACTAGTATATTCATTGCCATGCTTTCCACAATAGCAAAGACATGGAATCAACCCAGGTGCACATCAATGGTGGACTGGATAAAGAAAACGTGGTACATATTCCCTATGGAATTCTACACAGCTATAAAAAAGAATGAAATTATGTCCTTTGCAGCAACGTGGATGTAGCTGGAGGCCATTTTCCTAAGACAATTAATGCAGAAACAGAAAACCAAACACCACACGTTCTCACTTATAAGTGGGAGCTAAACACTGGGCACACGTGGACACGAAGATGGGAAAAACCAACACCGGGGATTCCAAAATGGGGAAGAAGAACAAGGGGAAACGGTTGAAAAATGACCTGTCAAGTACTGTTTGCTACTTGGGCAATGAGATCATCAGAAGCCCAGACCTCAGCATCACATGCTATATACATGTAATAAACCTGCACATATAACACCTGAATCTAAAATACATTTTTAAAATAAGAAATTTAAAAATAAAAAGTAAAAAAAGAAATACATGGCCTCTCACATTGATGTTAGAGATCATGCAATAATAACACAACACCATTTTATGCAAAATAACAAAAATAAATAAATTTTCGTGTTAATAGGTGACTTGATCATAAGAACAAAGGCTCCATACACCCCTCAGCTTGCCTCAGAAGAGACATTTTCAGGGCACACTTTCTCTATCTCTAAAGCCTGGAGGATGGGCAGGGAGGAATGTTACCTGTGATCTGTCCAAGCTGGCCTCTGAAGAGCTGTCCCACTTTGCCACCAACGTGGGCCCCCAGGCTAACACCAATGATGTGGATTGAGGATTTTGACACGCCCAGCACCTAAAAGAGAAGGGACAGTGAGTTCCCTGTGGGCCGCAGGGTCTGCTGGCTTCACAGGGCAGGCTTTCCCCCGCAAGCTTCAGAAGCCAAGGCCCTGGGCATGACACACCCACTGCACTTACTTTGGAGGGAAAAAGGACAGCATTCTCATCATTAACCACTTTTTTTCTTCCTGGGCTCCCCAACCTGATAACCTCTTTACTCTTCGTTTGGTGCCCAAAGTATGTGAGTAACAACCATGGCCATTCTCTCTTGAGGGACAACTAAGTGCCAGGCCATCTGCATTTGCTGTCTAATATGCCATGACACATTTTACAGAGGAGCAGTGGAAGGCTCAGCACATTCAATAAACCTCAGAACATTCAATTCAACCTGCCCAAGGGTAGCACTGTGAGTGGCAAAGTCAACATTTGAACCCAAGACCACTGAGCCACTGAGTGACTCCGCTTCCACCCTAAGCCTCCTCAGGCAGTGCTTTTGTCTTTCTGACCCTCTCTCTTCATATGCAGCCCAAACTCACCCTAAGCTCTTCTGCACCTACCAGGAGTTTATCGAGGAAAAGGGAGATCTCGAGGCTCAAGTTAAACACATTTTTCACAGCTGAGAAGTACATCCCTGTAGATCCATGAATCCAGTCCACGGCAATCACATTAGCATTCGCTGCACGCAGAAGGGTTCTAATGAATTTATCAATCCAGGAAGGTTTTGTTCCTAAGACCCTAGACAGGGGGCCAAAAAAGGGTGAAAAAATTACCTATCAAGTAGATATTTATTGTCATGGAAACCTCTGTTAATTGCAAACCCAGAAAAGAAGTCAAAATTAGATAAGGGGTTGTATGAGGATTTTATTACACAGCACTTTGAGCATAGGGAGGACACAGTTCCAAAGTTGCCAACCCTTCTGCCAGCATATATGGAACTTTTGTGAAAATTATAAAACGGTGCCTTTTGTTCCAGGTAGATGCAGCCTCATGCCAGGGTTCATAACTCAGGTTGGATTTTAGCCCCACCAGACTTTTGTCGGGCACTTTTGCACAATGCATAAGCTACATAAACTGTATACATCGCATATAGGCTCATTCTTTGTGGAGATTTTCTTTCTTTCTTTCCTTTCTTCCTTTCTCTTTCTTTCTTTTTCCTTCCTTCTTCCTTTTTTTCTCTCATCTACCCATTGATTTATTCAACAAACATTTATTGAGTACCCATGGGCCATGCAGTATGCTAGGTGCTTTCCAAAAAGTAAAGACAAAAAGATGCAGTCACCATCCTTCTGGAACTTACAGTATAATGGGACTTTTCTAGGAAAAGGAAAATGATAGAAAAATGTTTAGCAATCTTTCCCAACAGATTGGGATCAGGAAATATGATTTTTGATGGCTCCCGGTATAGAATCCAAGAGAGTATGCTCATGTGGATAGAGGAGCGCGGACCGGGTGTGTGCCAGGGAATGGGGCTGCGGGATTTAGGAGCAGACACAGTGACTAGCCTGATGAGCTTCCCACCTCTATTAGCTATCCCTGGGTTGGAGGTACATACTCAGCCTTGGAAAGTGGTCAAATGTAAGATTTGCTAGAGGAAAGGCTTTGGCACAAGAACAAGGAGAGATGCCTAAGGAAATATGTGGCTGAGTCCCTGGAATCCAGGGATTAGAGAGGTGGAGAGAGGCCAGAAATCAAGAAATGGTGGTCCTCTGGGCACTGCCTTTCTCTCTACCTTTTCATTGGATGCCCCCAACTCTACTTGCTCCATGGTGCTGTTATTTTACCATATTCTCTCCATCTTTCCTCCCAGAAACCCTTCTCTGTTTCTGGCCCTATTGATGGGCTTTGGGGAAAAGATGTTCAAAGAAAGGATGGTGATTGAATTGAGACTCAATGACTGTATGTGGACTGGGGGGGTATCAGAGAAATTGAAGGAAAGTGCGTAGCTCCATCATACCTATAATCTCTGGATATGATGGAAGTAGCACCCATAACTGGAAGTGTCTTAGGTCATAAAACCAGGGAAGAAGTGAAGAAAGGGAAATACAACCCTGGGTAAAAACACCATGCTGTTAGTCCCAAGAGATTGTGAGAAGCCCATGATGTCATTGTCTGAGATGAATCATGACATGCAACCCACGCTTCAGGGAAAAAATGACCACTGAGATCATTTCTACAACCTCCCCTTTAATTTGGCTATGGAAACCAAGGCTCTGTATAGAGATTTGTCCAGAGTCAGAGACATGTACTGCTTATGAGTGTGTAGACAAGACTGGGTGAATGAGTAAACGTATATGACCAATAAGAATGAACAGCATGTGTGCATGTTGACATGAGACCCCACCGAAGACAGCAGGACATGGGGATGGAACATGTGACCATAAGTAAATTCATTCTTCCTCTTGCTCCCCACTAACTTCTTATTGTATTATGGTTACTTGATCATTCTTAGCTGAGAGATCCTGTTGGTTGGTTAACTCCCACCTGAATCCATGGATAATTAGTTTGGTTCCCAGAGTGGCATTGAACCCAGAGTTTTGGAGGTCACTGCTTCCTTCTACTAGCTTCCCACAGCTAGGATTCGAAGGGACAAAGAGGAGAAACTGGACTTTGAGGACGGTGCCTTCAAAAAGTTTGGCATTCTGGAAGTCAGCACACTTTGTCTGTGGGGTAGGAGGTGCATCCCCTAGAGGAAAACAAAACAAAACGAGAAACATCCAAGGTAAGGTCATCTGCTCTTAGAAGGAAGAAAGACAACCTTGGAAGGGTGTAAGAAACAGGGGTCTGCAGGCATGGGGTTTATTATGCAGCAACTAGTGCAATAATCACTCATTTATTACAGCTTGCATCGCTTCTGTAATGAAGTTCTGTGAATATTTTTCATGCTTAAGGACAAAATAGCAGAGAAGGAATATTGCTCAACTAGATGGGATTAAAGGCCATGGTGAAATGGCTATTGTTATGGGCTAAACTAAGTCTCATCTCCCAGAATGGGTAAGTTGAAATCTTAACCCCAATACTTCAGAATGTTACTGTGTTTGGAGATAGGGTCTTTACAAAGGTAATTAAGTTAAAAGGAGGCCAGCGGAGTGGGCCTAAATCAATATAACTATAGTCTTTATATAAAGAGGAAATTTGGACACAGACAGAGGAAAGATGTTTAAGGACCCAGGGAGACAGTGGCCATGTATAAGCCAAGGACAGGGGCTCGGAACAGATCCTTTGCTCCTTGCCCTGAAGGAGCCAACACTGCCAGCCTCTTGATCCTAGACTTCCAGGCTCCAGAACTGTGAGGCAATATGTTTCCATTGTTCAAGCCACCCAGTCCGTGGCACTGCTTATGGCAGCCCTAGCAAACTGGTAGAGAATTCTAAACAGAACCCTTGGCAGCCAAATGAACAATTGCCCTGGGGACTAGTCTGTACTCCAAACACTCCATTCCAGAGGGATTTCCAACTCTCTAGCCCCACCTAATCACTTCTTGTCCTTATGAGCAGTCGAGAGCCCTACCATAGCCTTCCAGTGCCCAGCCAGGGCCTAGAGAGATGGTAGGGAAGAGCAGTAACAAGTCTCAGCTACTTCACAGCACCTTACAATAGATACCTTTTCACTGGAAATTCTCTGGCCAATGTAACTGCAGGCCTTTGAAAAATACTGAACAGAGGCTGGGTGTGGTGGCTCACACGTGTAATCTCAGCACTTTGAGAGGGCAAGGCAGGTGGATCACGAGGTTAGGAGTTCAAGACCAGCCCGGCCACCATGGTGAAACCCTGTTTCTACTAAATATACAAAAATTAGCCAGTTGTGGTGGTGGTTGCCTATAATCCCAGCTACTCGGGAGGCTGAGGCAGGGGAATTGCTTGAACCCAGGAGGCAGAGGTTGCAGTAAGCTGAGATCACGCCACTGCACTCTAGCCTGGGTGACAGAGCAAGACTGTGCCTAAAAAACAAACAAACAACAACAACAACAACAACAAAAAACAAAACAAAACAAAAAAAAACTGAACAGAAAAGGCAACATGAAACTCCTGCTTCCCAGGGAGCTGAAAATCTGGCCCATTTTCAGTACCTAGCATCCCACCCCCACCCCCACTTCTGTGATACAGAGGTGTGGTCCCTGACTCCCACGCATCCCACAGGGAGACTGGCAGGAGCAGCAGGGTGCACACTGACTCACAGAACACAAGCCCATCATGGCCCTAGCATTGCTGACACCAGACAAAGTGATTCATAGAATCAGAGGTTCAGAGGAGAGGTCAGATTACTGATTTTAGTTTGTATGGGCCCCTTTGTCGAGGAAGACAGTAACTTTAGGTTTCTGGAGTGATTATCTGCCATCAGAGGTAACTGGGAGCCCATATATAACAGGAGTGTGGATCTGGGATGCTTTAGGATATGGTGCTATGAGTGAATTGTGGGAACCCCACCTGTGGAGAATATCTCAAGCCACGAGCCCTTGTGGATCATCACTGCTTCTGAGCCCCAGACTTTGTCCCCAGTCTCCACGCAGAGCCAGACCAAGCAGGCAGGTTTGGAGGCTCCTGGGTTGAAGCCTACTCTGAGATTGCGGGCCCTAAGCTCTTGAGCCTGCAGCTTGAACTCCCACAGCAAATGAGAGGGCTAATGCCTGACTCCACCATTTTATCAGCCTCCCCCAGCTTTTGACTCTTTAAAGAAAAGAGGAAAGCACTGTGCTTCAGCATGAGACATGAACCACGTTAATGAGTAAATTTGCTCTATTGATCATATAGGGCATCCTGCATCCATCAGAGAGTTTGAGTCCTTTTAAAAGAGAATATGATGTCACAGAGTAAGTCCAAATCATCATCAAAGAATCAATATCATCTAAACAAAATGTAATAAAACTAGAAATCAATAGCAAAAATTATTTTAAAATACATTTGGAGAAATAAAAAACACCCCCTCCGTTTTTTCCAATAAGATAAGCCCAATCCCATGTGCCTGTGGTATTTTTACCAGCCCACACAAAGAGAAGCTCCTGGGCACAATTCCTCATGGACATATATTGCTGAAGCTTGTCAAGATTTAAAAAATTTTTATATTGAGGTAAAATATACATATATATATATATAATCATCTTTACTTTTTTAAGCATATGATTCAGTGGTAATAAATACATATATATTCTTTTTTCCCTTTATTCCCAACTCCTCTCTTCTTCTCAGCCTCTGGGAACCACCAATCTACTCTCTATCATTATGAATCCACGTTTTTAGCTCCTGCATATGTGTGAAAAAGTGATATTTGTCTTTCTGTGCTGGCTTATTTCACTTCACATAATGGCCTCCAGTTCCACTCAAGTTGCTGCAAATGACAGGATTTCCTTCTTTTTAAAGGCTGAGTAGTATTCCTTTGTGTGTATATACCACATCTTTTATTATTATTATTATTATTCATTTATCTGTTGGTGGGCTCTTAGGTTGGTTTTATATGGCTATTATGAACAGTGCTGAAATAAACATGAGAGTACAGATATCTCTTTGATATGCTAATTTCCTCTCCTTTCTTTTGGATATACACCCAGTAGTGAAATTTCTGGATCATATGGAAGTTCTATCTTTAGTTTTCTGAGGAACCTCCATACTATTCTCCATAGTGGCTATACTAATTTACACTCTCACCAACAGAAAAACACCCTTTTAAAGTTTTAAGCAATGTATGGGTTAAAGAATAATCACAATGGAAACTACAGAATATTAAAAACTAAGTGACAATAAAACCAGCACATGCCAAAACTTGCAAAGAGTGGCTGAAACAGCACTTGGGTCGTTTAAATAATGACTTGGCAAGCCATTAGACTAAGGCAGCTCTAGTGTTTGAGTTGCTGCAGAAAGTAACCAAATCGCAACTCATAGTGAAGAGTTGTATCCTAGGAGATTGAGGCTTACGTTTTACCACTCAGAAGCTGCCAACTAACCTCTGACGAGGGGCCTTAAGGTACTGCTCCACTTTAGTCAATCAAATACTTCTTTGCCTTGCTCCGTATGCAGCTTATAAAATTTCTTTCTCACCCCACTTTGGTGGAGCCCTGAGCCACTTGCTATGTGAAGCTGCCCAATCCATGAATCACCGTTTGTTCAACTAAACTCTTTAAAATTTTAATGTCCCTAAGTTTACCTTTTAATTGGGAGCAATGTCTAACCTTACGTGCAACTGTTAGGGGGGAAAGATTTAGATGAGATAAGTTAATATTTTAACTCAGAAAAGAATACCACAGTAATTCCAAATGAAATACAGGGAAAGAAACATAAAGGTAATAGTTGAAATTGAAGAAACAGAAAATGAGGAAATATCAGCAACATTGGTAGCAACGTAGTCATTGCAGTTTCTCAGGCTTTGCAAACTCGCCTGGGATATCTTCGACTCTTGCCTCTCTCTCACATTCCACATACAACTGGTCAGTTCTGTTGGCTTGACCATCAGAAGAAAATATTCAGAATCCAACCCTTCTCCCCACCTTGGTCCAAGCCACCATCATCTCTCACAGACACTGTCACAGCCTGCAACTGCATTTCTTGCCCTCTCTCTTGGTCCTTTCCGTCTATTTGCAACATAGCAGTCATGATTTTTTTTTTAAGTCAGTCATGTTACACCTTTGTGCAAAAGTCTCCAAGCCTTTCACTCAGATTGAAACCTGAAGCCCTAACAATGGACTGTAAGGCCCTAGCTAAGCTAATCCACCCCACTCCAAGAGTGCTCTGCCTTATACTGCACTCACTGTTGCAGCCAGTTGTTGTCCTTGCCCAGCCTCACTCTAGATTGCTTCCTGCCTGAGGGTCTTTGCCCAGCTAGTTGTTCCTTTTGCCTGGAATGCATTTCCCCCACACATCTACATGGCAGTTCCTTTCCCTCCTTTAAATCTTTGCTTGTCAAGTGCTCTCTTCTCTACTCTCAGCACCGTATTTCAGTTGTAACCTGCTTATGTTCCTCACCTCATTTCTCTCAATCTTTCTTACCCTGGTCTATTTATTTGTATAGCAATCATCAACTTCTAATCTACTATGGAATTTACCAACTTATTACACTTACTGTCTTTTGGTAGTTAGTCCACATTAGAATGTACTTTTGAACAAAGCAGAGATTTTTAAAATCCATTTTGTTCACTCTACTGCCTAAAATAAAATCAACAGATGAGCAGAAAGAAAGAACACTTGACAAAATTCAACACTCTCTAACATAAGAAAGGATATCTACTAAAAGCATATAGTAAGGATCAGATTTACTGGGAAACATTAAAAGCAGTCCATCTAGTACTGGGAACAGATAAGAAATGCGTGCTATCACTGCTTCTATTAAATATGGTGCTGGAGGTCTTAGTCCTAACCACTGAAACAAGACACTATAATGTGATAAAAGTTACAAAGTTTGAAAAGGGAGAGAAGAAAATTGTCAGTGTTTGAAGCTGATAAAACAGAGAATCATATTCGGATACTGCCTCAACCTAGCCACCACTACAGCCAAAGGACAGTGGCAGATGAGTATCAAAGGAGAGACAGAAAGATACTGACAATCTCAAATGTAAAAATAACATCCCCATGAACAGGAAAGAGAACAGAAATGCAAAATAGAGTGGGAGCCAAGGCTAGAGGAAGGCAGTGGTTGTAAGAATTCAGATAGGTAACCTGGGAGGGGTTGACCTCAAAAGTGCTGCATGCCAGATGTGAA